AAAAGTCACACATTTTTCAGTTAAGTTGATCAGTGATTCTTCAATAAAAAATAAATGTAAAAACATTAATTTTTACTTTTCAATAAAAGACTATCACATTTTTAATCTTTTCTTCTGCCTTATATTTGTGTTTTACAAATGTGAATGATTATTAAATTTTATCAAGTAATAAAAAGTCATTTTACATTTTATTACAGTAAACAGCAGCAGATTTTAGGAAAAAATACCAGGAAACTTTCCATGACTTCATCTTGAATTTTAAAAATATGAATGATTACTTAGTGATAAAAAATAATTTTTAATTGTTTTATTCCAATAAAAACTAGCTCATTTAAAAAAAAAAACATTTTAACAAATACTTTTTTAAAGAAAGAATTCTTTAAAAAAGTATTTGTTAAAATGTTTTTGTATGCTTTAATTTGGACTTTTAAAGACATGAATAATTTGTAATTTTTATTTAACAATAAAAAGTGAATTTTTTGCTAATGATTTTGTCACAAAACCATATGTTCAAATGATTGGATGGAAATTACAGGTGAACTCTTTGAACCTCAGACTCTCTTAGACAGGCATTACACCATTATTATTTTGCACTTGCTACAACTTCTCTTAGAAGACTGTAGTGAGTGCAAAATAATAATAACTCCCTTTACACACTCCTTTTAAATTTGGGTGAGCTGAGGAAGAAGAGGGAAAAGAATTCCTGACCCTATATGAAATTGTTTTTAGATGAATGAAAACATTCACAGCCAAGAAAAAGTGGGAAAGGAATTTGTGAGCATACACCAAATTCCTTTTGATATAAGATGAGGAGAAAAATTAAATTAATATGAGAAGAGTGTCTGCAGTTATGTGAGAGTTTTCATTTCAGTTCCTTGCAAACTGCATTGAAGTTCTTACCAGTGTAAAATTATTTGTCAATTATCGGCCTCTAACCAACTCACAGGACTTCAAAGAATTTTCTCTCAACAATCCAAGAAAGCTAAGTATTTCAAACTATCTCTCTTCATCTACTTTTGAACATATGTAAACCATATGTCCCTTTGATGAGCAAAGAACTGTCATAAACATTTTTTAATATTGTGTCAGATAATTTAATCTGTTGTATGAACATTTCCTCTTCATGACAGTGCATATGGACTTTAAAAATTTTGATTTATTTTCCTGAAATGAGCTGCACAATTTCAAGCATGTAAACTCATGAATAATTTCCTTATCTTGTTAAAATTACTTCTGTTTCCTTGTTATTATCATCCTTCAACAATCTTCTTGGCATGAATAAATCAACTGTTCATTTTAACTCCTAAGCCCCATACCACTATAAAGTGACTTCTGGTCTTATTAAAAACAAGTGTCTTCAGCCCTTCACTGCATTCATGTCAACAATTGAGTGACCATACTCAGACAATATCAAATGGGACTCATTCACCCCATATGTCCCAGAGCATTCGTACTATCTGAATCAACTAGCATAGAATGTAAAGTAATGAAAACTCAACTATGCTGGGCTGGACTTTGAATGACTACCAAAGAAAATCTTCATGGAGAGCTTGGTAAGTGTCTATCTAATAAGCTGAAAAAGGTGATATAAAACTGCATTTATTAGAACTAAATTTTGAAGATTTCAGTTATATAATTTCAAACAGATTCAATATGAAAACACCAAGCAATGGTCAATTTAAGAATGGGGCCATGCTCAAAATTAAGTTACTTTTGTTTTGTTTATTTTACAGCATATCAACCCATGTTTTATTTCATAAACAAAGCCTTGCATTTAAACAATCCAAATTTTTTTTAACTAGTAAGACTGCTGTTAGTTATGGTTATATTTTTTTAAAATTATATTTTTGAAATCAGTTTAATTTCTCTTACAAACTGGAATATGTAAAATGAATCAGTATTTTGAAAAAGTTCTTTTAAGTTTATTGTTTGGTAGTATTTTAAGTGAATTGAATTAAAATTGCTGCAGTTTGTCAGTGTGTTTTATGGTGAATTACTCTTGGTATGTCACACATACCAGTGATTTTTCAATTCTTAGGATATAAGAATTGTGTTTCTGATGCCATTCTCCTATAGTAGGTTTAATTTTATGCAGTTTATTGTTTGGGCAGGAGTTCCATACCACTCTGTAAGATAGTTATTGATTGTTGGTTTCAGGTCTGTATATGGAATTTTTGTATTTAAGGGGTCTGATGTGTTTTTTGTAGTAGATGTTATTCTTGCTGTGGAATCTGCTCTATCATTCTTTATGACTTGGTATCCAGCAGAAGACAATATCTGTATTTAACCTATTGATCCTGTTGTGTAGTTTAATGATGAGTGAGTTTGATATTTTTCAGTGCTGTGATCACTGATATGTATATGTGTATATAATAAATGTTGTATGTTTACTCAAATCTATGATGTCAAAAGCCAAGTCAATAGTAGTCACCTCGGCACTAAATATAGAAGCTTTGTCTGGAAGTGGTTTTATTAATTTTAATTTGTGGTGGACAGCTGCATATCTAACTTTATCATCATCTTTAGATCCATTCGTACAGATGGACTTTGTAGGAATCTTTGATGGAGAGTAATTCTTCATGGAATGTGTTAGGATTAGTTTTGGATTTTTGGAACTTATTTAGTTTTAATAGGGCATTTGGTTGTTTTATCATCCAGGGAGGAGTTTTAGAGTTAATGAACTCATGGACTTTTGCTGTATTTATTTGTGTTTTTCTTTTCAAGGGTATTTTTCATGTAGATGCTATATGTTTTGATGGTGTTCTCTTTCCTGTTAAAGAGATCAGCATATTGTGGATGAAATGTGCATTATGTATAGGATTTGATGGGCAGGTTGAGAGTTTCATATAATATTGAAGAGCCAGTTTTTTTCCATCAAAATTGCTAATGGAGGTTCATGTAGTGAAAGCTCCTACAGCTATTCTTAATCCTTGATGTTGTACTGTGAGTTATTTTATGTAGCTTTTTCTTTCTTCACCATATATAAAGCAACCATAATTGAGTTTTGATCTAATTAATGAGTGGTATATCTTGAGCAATGATTCTTTGTTTGCTCCCCAGTTTCAGTGAGCAGTAATTCTAAGTAGTTGTAGAGTTTGGGGGCATTTGAACCTTAAGTATTTTATATATAAATGTAAGTTTTTTGTTGAATATGATACCTAGGTACTTGTTCTACTACTGGGATTTTGCTATTGTTTAGATTTAATGTTGGATCATTATGCATTTTTCAAAGCTGACAGAAGTGTATACATTTAGTTTTTTTCTTTTTCCATGGCCCATTTGTTTATTTTATTAAGACATAGCTGGAGCAGTTGCTCTATGTGTACATATGTTTTGATGTATAGTAGATCAAAAAGTCATTCACATGTTTGGTACAGTCTGTTCCTGTATTTGTTTTTTACTATATTATTAATTTTAGTATTGAAAAAGGTAACAGATAGAATGCTCCCCTCTGGGACAAATTGTTCCTGATCTTTTTTGTTTTGCCATGGTGTCATCTAAATACACCTTAAAATCTCTGCCTTCCAAAAAGCTACAGATAAAGGATGGTATTCTGACTTTTAGTTCTAGATCTTGTAGATAAAGGATGACTTTTAGTCCCAGGTTTTGTAAGTCTCTTTTTATGCTATACTTCCAGCTTGTATCATAAGCCTTCTCCAAATCAAAGCTGTTAAGTGTTCTTTTTTTTTATGAAGCTTTCTCATATGTTTGTTTCCAGTTGAATTAAATGATCAACAGGGTTTCTTTTGTTTTAGAAGCCTGCCTGGTCATTTTTTATTAGTTTATTGGTTTCCAGGTACCATATTAATCTGCTATTAATCATCTTTTTGGATGTCTTACAGATACAGCTGGTGAGTGTTATTGGTTGGTAATTTGTTGGGTCTGTTTTATCTTTGCCACATTTAGGTATTGGAAGAAACGTGCCTTGTTTCCATGATTTGGGAATATATGGTTAAGAATTTGAAGGGAGTAGTCTAATGATACTACAGGTAATTGTTTCAGGAATTGATAATATATTTCATCAGGCCTGATGGCAGTGTCATAGGTTTTGTTTGGTGTTTCTTGTAGTTCTAATTTTGTGAATGGTTGGTTGTAATTTTCATTGTTTTTTAAATTAATGTTGTTTTTTTTTTCTTTGCTCTGTTTGACAGTTTCAAATGTTTTACAGTAATTTTTGATGAAGATTTTTCTGAAAAAGTTTCAGCTAGGAGATCTGCTATGTCTTTCTTGTTGGTGATCTTTGTAGGAAAGGTGCTTGATAGGGTTGTGGGTAGTTTTTCCTGTTATTTTTTATATAATTTCCCATACTTTTTGGGGTCTGGTGTTTAGGTTTATTTTGGATATAAAATCTCTCCAAGATTTCCATTTAGATTTTTTGAGAGTTTTAAGGGCTATGGCTCTACATTTTTGCATTCATCTAGGTTTTCACTGGTTGTTTTTTTTTTAATTTTTATAAGTTGGCTGAGCGTGTTCATATTGCTTTCTTGCAATCATCATCGAACCATGGCTTACTAAGTTTGAGGTGCAGGAGCTTTTTTCTTTGGCTATTGAAAGTAGGGTATCAGTAAAATATGTTATTAATTCTTCCTTATTTATGTTTCCTTTTGGTATCAGTTTCAGTTTGCAGGCATTTTAAAATTCTGTCCAGTTAGCTTTTTGAAGATTCCTGTGGCATGTTTTATCACTTAGTTTAGGGATTGGGTTTTCCAGTATAATTAGGAAGTGATCACTTCCACATTTATCATTATGAGTTGACCAGGTATAATCCATGTATATACTAACTTTGCAGATTGTTAAGTCTATAGTAGTGTATGTTTTTCTTGATGGTATGTACTTGTTTTGTTATTTAGGAGGCATAGCTGTCTTTGATTAAATAATGTTTCTATGATTTTGCCTTTCTTATAAAGTCAAAGGTTAGTATTTTGTGAAGGGTGGCTGTTACTGCTACCATCTGCAAGTTTATATTTTTTATTGTTTCACTATGAGGTATGGTAATGTTAATGAGTATTGATGAGCCTCCTGAGGCTCTATCAGTTTGTTTGATGAAATTGTTTTATGTTGATAGTGTCCTTTTCTTTCAGGTGAGTTCTTGTAAGCATATAATTGCTGAGTTGTAGGTCGTGTTGAAGATAATTAATTCATTGATATTAGTTTTGGCACCTCTTATGTTCCATTGTATTACTTTGTTTGTCATTGTTTTGATATTTTGTTTAGTCATATATAAATATGTTTATGTTATGTTACTTGAATATTTTATAGATTTGGATTTGTTTTAGAAAAGCTTATTGCATTTATGTCCATTTTTTCTGGAGTTTCAAATCTATTTTTTGTTTTAAGAGTGTTTTTAGTTTGTTTGTTGACTTTTGAATTTTTGTATTTTCTTTTGGAGATTGGTCTCTTTGGTTTTTGTTGGGGAATTTCCTTCAGAAGGGGTTGAAGTGCAGATTGGAGATTTTTTGATCTTTGTTTTATTAAATTATTTTTGATTGGTAACTTTTGGATAACCTGTGGGAAGGTTCCAGGTTGCATTGTTATTCTGGCAATGGTTTCATTATATATCATTGCATTATTTTCATTCAGACTTGGTTTGATTTCATTTATAAATTTCAGTCAGTCAGCTCTGATTGAATTAATTTTTTCATCAGGTTTTCATGTTTCTGATGTTTTTCTTGCATATTAATTTTAGTGATTTGGTTACAGTGTAACCCTGATATAAAAGACCCGGATATAAGAGAAACCTGGATATAAGAGAAATTTTCTCTGGTCCCAAAGTGTTCCCATACTTACCTAAACAAAATAGACCAAACCCGGGTATAAGAGAAACCCGGATATAAGAGACTTCTTCTCCGGTCCCGACAACTCTCTTATATCCTGGTTACACTGTATAACTAATTTCTTTCGTATATCCCTCCACAATCTTACATGCTTCAAGGAAAGAAATGCTATTGGTTTATTTATTTCTTTACCTGTCATATGCAATCACAATTTTCCCATTTACATATTTCTCTGCATTCATTTGTGATGTGATATGATTCTTTTTGCCCACACTAACTGCATACTGCTTTACCATAGCGTTTGTCCTCATGATGTTTATACTATTGACAGTTGTAACCTTAGAGAGGGTTTGGGATGAAGGGTTCATGCTTCTTTATGTTATATCCAATTTTATTTTTATTTATTTGGAAATGGTTAGTATGTTGAAAGTCAGAATGTTTTTTATTGTGAAATGTCATCATTTTCAGTAGTATTTCTACTTTTCTTTCCTTATCTACCTCAACCAAAATTGTGCTATTTTTTTTAGATTTTTCACATTTTGGGGCTTTATTTTAGAGGATATGATTTTTCAATAAGGATGGGAGAAAATTTTGTGAGTAGGATTTCATCTAGTCATTCCAAGATTTATAATCTTGGAAAAAATTCCCTCTCTTCATTCTCAGAATCCATATCTATGTGAGGCCATTTATTGGGTTTGTTTTTATCCATCAAAAAAGTTTATTACTTCACCACCACTGCTCCTCACCCACCACGAAATACAATTTAATGAGAAATATGAAGGGGGAAAACCCATTCACTTTGGTAAGACAGAGCTAAAGAAATTGTATACACATATTTGGAGGAGGGCCATGTGTATCTGATTTCCTTTTGGTTTCACTACCCAAAAACTAGTGAAACATTTGGAGTATCGAAGATGCATCATAGTTCTTTCTTAACCAAACTGATTGACCCTACAGCCACTGCCTTCTAATTCAAATATTTTATATATTTACATATGTGGTACTTTTGAATGAAGACCAAATTTTCTTCCCTCCATTTTAGTTACTTTAAATTAGGGCTTAATGTGACCAACCAATTTATCGGATCGGGCCTCTCCGATTGCTCATCTTAAGTATGGGCAAAAGTGGAATGTTTGCATCTATTGAGACTACTTTGTCTCTTGATCACATAGAGTTCAGCCACCAGGTTCCTGTCCTAAGATCATATTGTCTGCTGCTGCTCACAGCAAACACGTGGTCTCATTGGGGAGGTTTTTAACTCCTAGGCAGAGGTGCAGTTAGCATATTCAGAAACTCCCGCCAACAGGGCAGTCAGAATTAAATAGATACACATCATATATGTGTGTATGCACACACACACACACACACACACACACACACACACACACACACATTTCTAAAGACTTAATATGTATGTAATAAATGCTATAATTAATATATAATACATGCTGTTTAATAAATAAAAATGTGATGTCTATTTCAAATATGAAGTGACCACTATTATAATGTTTGAAATTATATACACATACATACATATGTGTACATATATATATATATATATATATATATATATATATATATATATATATATTTTTGTTGGATAGATGTGAGTTTGTGACCCTGGGTTTCACGCTTTAGCGATCGTCAGACAAACTGATTAATGTTTTAAAAAATTTGGGTTTATGTAGATTGCGTGTATTGGTGTTATTGTGGAAGTGGTGGGGGAAATTTCGTCGTTTTGTCATTCATCGTACTAACGCAAACATCGATGTATGCAGACACATATACATACTTGGTCGTCCGTCGGGACTCATAAACATATGTGGGCAGTTTCGGCTATGACACATGTATGTATACGGGTGGTGTTATGTCTATATATACGCATTTGTATGTTGAAATGTTGAAATTTAAAATTTATGACATGGATACATTCACTTGTGAATGTATCCATGTCATAATATGAAAATTTTTTTTTGTTTTTTTTTTTTTGTTTTGTTTTTTTTCGCTGAAAAAATATTTCCTATTTTAATGTATGTATATCGTGTGGTGGGGTTTAATGTAAAATTATGATAGGTAAAAATTATTATTATAATTATTTATATTTATTTTTAAATTTTGAAAAAAAATTGGGGTTTATTTGTTATATGTAAAGCTGGTTATTTGTTTGTTTTTGGTGACTGTGTATATGTAACAGGTAAAAATTTGTATTCCTTATTGTTTAATTTATATGGTGATGTTTAATATACTGGGTGAGAGGGTGGTTCAATTTAATAACAGGTCTATATGATATGATGTGATAGTAATGTTTCAAGGGATTGGTGACAATAGCTAATAGTTATTGTAAATTGGAAGAAATTGCAAATTGGTAGAAATTATTAGTAACGGTGGTGGGAGAATGATAAAACCATGAATGTGGTTATAGTGGTGGTAGCTTGAACTAAAAAGTGGTTGTTAGTGTTTTATTTTATATTTTTGTTTTATTTTGTTATATGTATTAATTTATTTTGGTATAAATCCTGATAATAGGTATTCTATGTAAAATTATGGTAGTTGAAGATTGCTATAATTTTTAATTTTTAATTACAAAATTATTATTGTTATTATATTAAAGCTGCCTGGTAATAGGTGTTTATTCTCATGGTTATATATGGAAATTATATCTGATCATATTGTATTAAGGTATTAAATATGCTGGGGGAGTAATAAAGGTTGTAGTGGATTATATGTTAATAGTGGGTGTGATGTGTAAGTGATGGTGCCGTGTGTTGGTGGTAATGATAATATTGATAGATAATAGATATTGTAAAGTGGTAAAAGTGATTACTAATGGTGGTGCAATTATAATAATGATAGATGCAATTATTTTGATGGTATCTTGAAATTAAATTGTGATTGTTGGTGGTTTGTCTGTTTTATCTGTTTGGTATGAATTCGGATAATAGGTACTTGTTCTCATGCCTACATTTGGAGATTATCTCTGATTTTTTGTTTAGAAAGTTCTTTTGCGGTTTGTGTGATATTATTGCTACTTTTTCGTGTAGGCAAAGTAGGCATTTTTTCATAATGTTATTTGTAGGCAGGGGCTTTTTTTTCAATATTTCCCAACTTATTGTTGGTGTGATGTTTTTTGTCTTTTTGCTGCCATATGTATGTAGAAAGTGTTGTGCTGTTCGAATATTTCCTGTTGTTGAATGAAAGGTTGTGATTGTTATTCCTCATCTTGAATGGACCTTCGGTGAAAACCGATGTAGTGCATAGTGTTGTTGTTTGTACTTACCTTGGCCTTGTATATTGTGTTGTTGTAATTTGGCAATTTCCCTGGAGTGGACATGTTGTTCGGTTTCTGCAGTTGCATATTGGATCCTTGGTTATATTTTTGTAGGTTGTCATTTTTTTTGTTGTGGTTTTTGATTATTTCTGTTATGTTTTTTGTACAGCTGTAACTGATCTTTACGTTATTTTTGTTAAATATTTTTGATAATTTGTTTTCTTCAGTGAAGTGTTTTTCTATTAAGTTTAGGAATATTTTGCCTATGTTCGTTTTAACAGTTTTGTTATATGGTGGATTAAACCAGATAATGTTTCTCTTTCTGTTTCTGCGTTTCGCTGTGGAGGTATATATTGTAGTTGTTGTGTGTAACCACTTGCTTTTTAGTGCTTCGTTGTATGGTGCTATTTTGCTATTGAAAATTTGCATGTTAGATGAGTTCTCAGATAGTCTGCGGCTGATTGATTTTGGTATTTGTTTGATGATAGAAGGTGGATGATTGGAGGATGTGTGTACGTAAGTTGGTGTGTCATTTTCTTTTTTGTATGGTTCATATGTGTTGTTGATCAGGTTAAGAGTGACGTCAAGGAAGTTTACTATAGTTGTGCATGTATTTATCTCTATTTTGAATCCAATGTTTTTTAGGGAATTCACTATTTTCTTCCTGAATTTGTCTACTTTGGGGCCATTGGATTCCCTTATTAAGATAAGACCGTCATCTCTGTATAATCCTGTGTCCTTTCTCTCCAGGATTCTGGCCAGGTATGATAGGATGAGTATGCCTACTAATTCGCATATTTCTGCTCCATCGTAGCTACCCATTGTTACGTCAAACAGGTTGTGGTTTTGTTTCTTTGCCCATGGTTCATTGTTGTGGAACAGCAGGGATTTGCGGCAATGCTTGATTATTTTTATATCACCGTCCGTGAGTTTTACATTTAGCTGTGCCAGTTGTATGGCTTCATCTAATATGCTTTCTGTAATGGAAGGATAAAAATCCACAATGTCAAATTGGATGAAAGTGGATCTGTTCTTGTTGTCTATCGATAAAAAAATATTTTCGTATTATGACATGGATACATTCACGGGACATTAACGAGACATTTCCGCCACACTTCCAATGTTTAAATTTCAACATTTCAACATACAAATGCGTATGTATAGACATAACACCACCCGTATACATACATATGTCATAGCTGAAACTGCCCACATATGTTTATATATGTATGAGTCCCGACGGACGACCAAGTATGTATATGTGTCTGCATACATCGATGTTTGCGTTAGTACGATGAATGACAAAACGACGAAATTTCCCCCACCACTTCCACAATAACACCAATACACGCAATCTACATAAACCCAAATTTTTTAAAACATTAATCAGTTTGTCTGACGATCGCTAAAGCGTGAAACCCAGGGTCACAAACTCACATCTATCCAAACAAATATGTTAGCTCTATCTCTGATATTGAGCGCTTTCTAATAATACAGCATATAATATATAAATAATTATACATATATATATTTATTTATATTTTATATACACTTTTCACATATATATATATATATATATATATATATTTCATTAAAGACAACAGACAAGGTAATATGATTAAGCTTTTTATTTAATTTTCCTTGTGTTCAAACAAGTGTTTTCTTTTGTGGTCACTGAGTGTGTAGAAACTGTCCAAATGTTCTATAATTCTAAGCGCTTTCGGCTATACTTTTAGCCATTATCAAGGATGATTTTATTTTTGCTTTTTAATTGGGTGAATGGGTTGTGTATATGTTTTTAGAGATATAGGGATATTTTATTATGCTTGTTTTTTAATTAGGGTAGCATTTGTAAAATCAAAGTTATGGCCAGGCTTGTTCCTGTATATTACAAGTAAATTTAAATGATTGTCCCAACAGAGGTGTTTCTTGTGTTCCTAGATGGATGCTTAATAAAATATTAAAAACTGGATCAAATCTATGAACTATTGTTGAATCAGATGAATTAGTTTTTACTGCATGCATTTTCACTTTTTTTTGCATTAAAGAAGTTCACAGAAGAATGCTTTGCAGTTTGGAGAAGGTTCACTTGGTATAAAAATAGAATTATGTATTTAGTAATTATGTAATTGTCTAGATTTCATTTAAGTCTTAAAAATTAACAGTACTAAAATAATAAAAATTGATCAAAAAATTAAATTACTAGAAAGTAGTAATGTTTTCATTCTAAAATAATAAGTTTTAAGCTGCAAATTATTTAAATGTTTACATGATCTTTTAATATATTCACAATTTTTTTTATACACTTCAAAAATATTTTTTTAATCTATTTGCTTTTTTCAAGCCCTTGAAGTGATGATAAGAGAAATGTTAACATGTCACATGAATGTATAGGTGAACTGAAAAAATCAAGCATAAATATACAATTGTTGTTAATTTTCTGTGCAATAGACAATAGATAATGTTTAAATCTGAAGAAATTGAATGATACTTGACATATGTTAGTGATTTAAAATGTATTAAAGACATAAAAATTACAAAAAGTATACAATGAAAGATATAATCTTTTTCTACATTATTTGATTGTTTCAACGATACATTACGCAATGCAAATAATGTATTTCTAAAAGATAATTCAATTCTAGTATTTTAAAAACAGCCTCAGTAATATGATCAATTTTATATTGACTAATTCTGTAATTTGAGCTCAGCTAAAACTTGATTAAAAATTTATCAATAAATACAGTAATTAAGTGTATGTAATTATTGTAATAATTGCAACATTAATCAACATAATATTAAACAACTACATAATTCAGTTTGTAAATGATCAATAATGTATCACAAAAACTAATTAATGTAATTCTATATTATCAGTGTGAAGAACATGATTAGTTCAGAAAGATATTAAAAGAATAAGTGGGAAAAAAACAAAAGAATTGGTTTTGTTCGTATAAAAACCTGGTGTAATATTTTGGTTGTATTTGCTTCTCTCGGCAAACATTACACGTGCTTGGCACAAACGGCCCAATGTTGGGCAGGAAAGCAAGATGTAACATGTCGCTTCGAATATTAACACAAAAAACTTGTTTTCGCTTTCTTCTTGAACATGATCTGTATTTATCACTGTTTGGAGTAGCTGAATTAATAGTCAGGTAAAAATATATGATGTTTTTTATTTAAAATAGAAATGATGTGTTGTTTAAGAGATAAGAAGAGTTTTATTATTGCTTTTTTGGATAAACTTTTCCGTTTTGTATTTTCAAGAAGAAAATAATCTATTTAAAATGTACTTTTTTAGGAAGTATTATTATCTGTTATTTTCACACACTGTCTTTTCTTTTAGAATTATATAATTTATTTATCACTTTATTCTTTTGACACTAACCCAAATTAACGTCTATATCTTAAAAATGTGTGTGCGTTTTAAAGAAACAAAATATTTTTTAACTTCTGGTCTTGTTTTTTTCATCATCCCGACTTTCTAAAAAGGCTAGCTTCTATATTTTAATTTTATAATATAAACTCAATGAAAAGATGTTTCTTTTATTATTTAATAATTTTTTTTTAATTTCAGTCAAATCAAAAAAAATAGAAGATTTTTCCTTTGACGGATTCAACGTTTTTATTATTTTGAACTTGATGGAATGTAAACATGACTTAGCTTTTCCGAGACATCCTACAAATTTGAATTATTAACACAAAATATAATTTAAAAACAAGTTTATAACTTCAAAATGTTTTTATTTCCGTTATAAATTTAAAATAGTTAAAGTATTGTCAATTTAAAATTTTTACTATAAGTTGTCACTTTAACCATTTTACTTCAAATTATCTTTGTTGTATTTTGTTGTTGGACATAATTCCTGAAATCAAAAAATTCCACATTTCTCTTTTTAATAGGTCAGAATGTTAAGCATAGTTTAATATATATTATACAAAGTACGATATTATTTGGAAGGAGCAATAAAATTAAATAATGTTCTTAGCTTTTTCTAAGTTTTTAGCCAAATAACTACTTTGATTAAATTTGAAACTACGGAATTTTTGGAGACTCAATTTATTTGTCTATGTATTTTTTTTTTCAATTCTGCTGCAAAATCAGGTTGGAAATATATTTTTCTGTTGATGTTCTTTCCTGCAATCACAACTTCATAAACTTGGTAAATTCGTCACCGTTGTTCGCTAATAAATGAAAATAAAAGTATGATGATTCCATCTGTTAGTAAGTTCGTGTTTCAATAAACATGTGTGTAACGATGAAGTAGTTTTTCCAAGTTGTCTACAGAACAACAACCATTTTCAAGGTGGTCATTGAAACCTCTCTTTTCAAAAATAAGGTGAATAAATAGGAAAATAGTGGCAATAATAATAAAATTCAGTTTAAAATTCATGTGGCAAACTAAACATAATCTACTTTAAAATTATTATTAACTGATTCATATTGTTCCAGACTTCTTCGAAGTTTTATGTGCAAGGTAGTGTTTTTTTTTGTTTGTTTGTTTTTAATTCAAAACAAAAGCAACATACATGAAGAATCAATTTAATTTTCTCAAATAAAATGTGCAAGTGCATCAGCAGTGTAGGAAAATGGCGGTTTATTTATTAAAGATTGTTCTTAAAAACAAAATCATATAACAGTTCTCTGTTTTGAATACATACTTACTTATACCAAGTAAAGATTTAAAACAAGTTATGTATTTAAATTAATTAATTTATAATTCCATTTGCTACGTAAGTAAATCAGTCATAGTATAATTAATTCTCTTTCATTCCATGATTTGCCTGTTTAAAGGTTGTTTTTCTCTTCTTAAAATTCTAATGATGTGAAGCAAACAATATTCATGCTTTATTTACATTTTCAGAGATTTTTGCTAAAAAATGCTTTCATCAGAATCCTCTGCCTGCTTTATTGAAGATTAAAAAAAAGATTATCTTAATCAGGCTTTCATTAATGCAAATCCAAGAAAAAGAGTTTGAGCTTATTGCTCTTCACTAGGAAATGTCACATTGGGATTAGTGATAAAAAATTATAAATGACTTTGATAATTTTCAATCTGTAGTGGATGTTGCCCCCAAAAACTAATGCCTTTATAATACAGGCAACTTATTGATTGACCATTTTATGTTTGAATTATGTAACACTACATTAAAAAGATATATTTTTATTATAAGCAATCAAAATCTCCATTAAATTTTTTTTTTCACTGGAGATTTTGGTTGCTATAATGAACAGCTGCGAAATGTATATGGAATCCATGAACACCTGACAGAGCAAATGCAGTGTTAAAAAAAAAAAAAAAAAAAAAGGATATGTTTTTTATTTACTTGATTCCTGGTTTAGTTTCATTTTGAAGCTCATGCATTATGCAACGAGCTGGATATTTTCCACAAATTGCAATTGCTAATGAAATGGCAGCATCTTTAATTTGAATTTTATTTCTTCAAATTTAAGGCTTACATTTCACAGAGAAACTGGTCTTTCTAGGGAAATTTAATTTTTTTTTATCTGCTATAATCAGTTGTTAATGTTGCACAGAAAATCTTATTAATTAGAAATTTGGTGATGCTATTAGTACTTAAATTATAACTTGTAAATTCAGGAAGCTTTTGTCAAATTATAAGGATTAAAATGTCTAGTAAAATTACATGCAAATTATTTGAATTGTAAACATTTACTTTTTTTATGTCATGTTCCTTCAGGATGTAGGCAATCATAGCTTTCCACAGATACCTTTATTGTCTGAAAATTGCAATGACTTCTTGGAGGGAAAAAATTGTGTAATGTTTTCCCTTTGCCTTCTCGACAGTTTTGAATTCAGAGTGATCCTTCTTTTAGGTTTGATTGCCATCCAGTTTTTTACTCTGTTGCATTTACTTTTGCACTAACAACCTTAGAATCCATCTCTTCTCTGGCAGGGTAAACTGAACTTAAAACTTGGCTCCAGGATTCCACATTTCTGCATTCATAACTATTATGCTTTTTATTCATGTATCCTATAATTATTACAACATTTTCTTTTGAATATTTTGCTGCTTTATAAAAATCCACCATAAAAAGTGCAAGCTTAAAAGTTTCTTATTATTTCTTAAAAGAAACTTGATATTTTAAATTTAAAAAATGATTTGTATTGAAACAGAGATGTGAGTTCCAATCTTGTTGAATTCATTCTGTTACAAACAACATGCATAAAAAAAAACGTGTCACAAGCTACAAGTTAGAATTATTTAGTGACAACTTGATTCTCTATTCATTCTAATTTCCAAGTGCTTCTTCTGTTGTCACTGATGATGTTTAGACACTCAAATAGCACCAAATTGATTGTGTGTATTTTAAATTAATGGTCAGACTTTTATGCTTTCTTATAAGACATTGACATGATTATTATTTCATATTAATCAATTTTACATATTAGATTATTTGGCAGTACTCTGTGTTTTATCTAATTATTTTGACATACATGAATTTGTTTGACTGTAACAAGTTAAATAGCAGTGATAATAGAAAAAAATTTAATGGCCATATACTAATTTTTTCCCTAGCATTCATCAGTTGTGATTAACATGTTAGTCTTACTTATAGAAAAATCAATCTTTATCAAATGTGCATCAAAACATAGCCTTCTATGTTTGTGCATATAATGATTTCTGTGCCCTACAATATATAACAACAATGTTTGATATTGAGTCTTGTATGTCATATAAGTATTAATAAGATAAGCTACCACTTTGAAAGTGCGGGAGAAAGATTGGAGGATGATGGCTTCTGGGTCAATGTCATCAAAATAGCAAACCTTTTAATATTGTGTTTTTTGTTTGTTTTTTTTTTTTTTGTCTTTTACATGAAAAATCATTAGGGTTCAATTTTTCTAGATTAACATTGTCATTGTTATTCAAAGAATATGTTTGGTATTATGTTCAAAATAAAAGCTTGAAGTAAATATATTATTTTTGCCTGTTTATAACTTTTGTGACTCATATCAAGTTTTCATCTTATGAGGATTTCACTGAATGAATGAATGTATGTATGTATGTAAAGTTTCATACACAAGGCAATCCCCAGGTATAACTTTTATAAAAAATAAAGAGTTTACATCTGATGACTGTCTAATGCATGAAACATGGGTAGCATCATGTAGTAAGGAATAACAGTATAATTTTTTAATATGCACTGGCATGCAAATTTTGGGAGCCAGCTACATAAAATGATTACACATATTTATTAAGTTAGTATTGTTTAGCAGTATGCGTTTATTAGTCATGTCTGTGAAGATTTGAAAATGAGTTGTTGCAATGTAGCAGAAGATACACAACTTTAATCAGCTTGAAATTGAAAAAAAAAATATTCAAAATTATTGTGCCAATGATAGATCTGAGATGATAAAGTCATGATAATATGCAAATTTTTAAGTAAGGATTGTTCCATCTTATTAACATCAGTATAAGGTGCTTTGGCATGTCATTGTTGTTAAATAGTAGCTTGTTTTTTGACACTGAAATCATGACTAAAGCTTATCGTAAAACAGATGTAAAGGTTGTGACTTTGAAGAGGAAGATGATTCAACAAGAATTAGCCTGACAGCTGGGAATTTCCAGAAACAGTATTCAAACCATCCAAAAGACATTTGCTACTATTGGAAGTGTTTCAAATGCAATTAAAACTGGAAGATCACAACAGAATGACAAGAGAGAGAGGAAAAAAGATTGAGTCTCAGTAAGCAATCCAAAATAACAACCAGATAAGTGATGAATGAATGCAATCTTAACTGTGAAGAGGTTTGATACAGTACGCAGACTATTATGAAAAAATAACTTGAGTGGTTGAATATCAGTGAAAAACCACCAGTAACCAAAAAAAAAAAAACATCAGAATAGAAAATGGAAGAAGTTGTCAAAAGAACATCTAACATGGAATGCTGAAAAGTGACAAAAAGAAATTTTTAGTTATGAATGTGAAATAGATTTACATTCTAATGCAAGAGAATATATCAGATATGCACCACAGAGACTGTAAAAAATGGTGGTAGATGCATAATGGTGTAGGGTTGCATCAAAAGTGATGATGGAAGAAAATTTGTAAACGTTGATGGAAACCTAAACAGTGAAAACTATATTAATTTACTACAGTCTAATCTTCTGCCAGTCTATGAAGATG